AGTTGTAAGACTTCAATAGACTCCATAGAATAAAAATATTAATAGTTACATTAGACAGATTCACCAGCGTAATTGTCCAGGATGAGATCAGGTTCCTGGGGCTTCTTTTTCTGCTATCTTCTGAGAATTGTTTGCCATGAATATAAGTTGTTACTTCTATGGGATTAATGGTTAGAATTAATGGCAAGAATGGACTAATGGATTAATGGCAAGAATACAATTGCTGGGGTATGGTAGTTTTCAAAGTTTTATAAGAAACTTTGTAAATTTTATTTAGTTTGTAAGACACTTCCAAACATTTTCAGAGGGCCTGTACCTCTTTACACCTCACCAGCGATGTATGATGATTCAGAGCCTCTCTGTCCTTACCAGTTTTTGCCATTGTCACTTATTTTTTTGTTTTTGCTTTGAGAAAATTTTTATTGTACACTGTTGAATTAATTTGTTTGAATAAACAGCACACAAAACAAAGATTTATGTTGTGAAAATCCATGAAGCTTCTAATCAGCCGTCTGCAAGGCATGGAGACTGGTTTTGTGTCTTTTTAAGTCATAGATTTCCATTTATTGTTAGATTTTGAACATAATTGGTTTCCAAAATACTTTTTTAACCTACCCTGGGATTTATTTATATATATTAGTCCATAGTTCATTTTATTCTGTTATCTCAAATCAGTGCTAGCCCATTTAGTGCACCAACACCGAATAGAAATTATTTTGTGATTCAATTGCTTTATGGATATTGAAATATCTGATATGAAAATTAAAGTTTTCAATATTTTAAATTTAACATTTTGTAAGAGTTTTGTTTGTTTTCCTTTTACTTTTTATTGAAGGATAATTACTTTACAGAATTTTATTGTTTTCTGTCAAACTTCAACATGAGTCAACCATAGGTATACATATACCCCCTCCCTTTTGAACCTCCCTCTCATCTCCCTCCTGCTCCCACCCCTCTAGGTTGATACAGGGCCCCTGTTTTGAGTTTCCTGTGCCATGCAACAAATTCCTCTTGGCTATCTATTTTACATATGGTAATGCAAGTTTCCATGTTACTCTTTCCACACGTCTCACTGTCTCCTCCCCTCTCCCCATGTCCATAAATCTATTCTCTATGTCTGTTTCTCCATTGCTGCCCTGTAAATAAGTTCTTCACTACCATTCTTCTAGATTTTGAATATATGTGTCAGAATACGATATTCATCTTTCTCTTTCTGACTCACTTCACTCTGTATAATAGGCTCTAGGTTCATCGTCCTCATCAGAACTGACTCAAATGCATTTCTTTTTATGGCTGAGTTATTCCATTGTGTTTATGTAGCAAAACTTCTTTATCCATTCATCTGTCGATGGATGGACATCCATGGGCAACCACATGCTTCCATGTTGTAGCTATTGTAAATAGTGCTACAGTGAACAATGGGATACATGTGTCTTTTTCAATTTTGGTTTCCTAAGGGTATATGCCTAGGAGTAGGATTGCTGGATCATATGGTGGTTTTTACCATGGTTCCTGACCCTGAAATGCTACTCTTTTCTGTGAGAATGTATGTGCCCCCAATTGACCTGGTGCATCATGCACTTTTCACAAGGCTGTACAAGTACTAATAATCAATCCTTGTGTGATCGGATATGCATTTGATATGCACTTTAATTTTCATAGATATACAGAATACTCTTTCAACTTTGTCCTTTAATACTAAAGAAAAGGAGAAAACCTATACATGAGTACTAAAAAAATCTGATCTTCTCCAGAAATCAAAACAGTATCAAATTAACAGTTGTCCTTCAGAACCAAATATGTGACTGTTAGCTGGTGATTTTTTTTTCTTTCTCATTTTTTCTTTTGAAAGTTGAAGTCAGTTGAGTCTGACTCTTGTGACCGCATGGACTGTAGCCTGCCAGGCTCCTCTGTCCATGGAATTTTGAATTTTCCAGGCAAGAATACTGGAGTGGGTTGTCATTTCCTACTCCAGCCATTGTCATTTTTACTGTAGCCCTTCTATAGGTGTGTAGTGATATCCCACTGTGGTTTTAATTTCATTCTCCGGTGGGTAATGATACTGAACGTCTTACTATGTTCTTAGTTGCCTTGGTCTGTCCTCTTCAAGGAAATGTCTTATCATTCTTAACTGAATTTTATTGTTGAATTTTGAGAGTTCTTTCTGTATTATACATATAATCCTTTGTTGGATATTTTGTTGCATATATTTTGTCCCAGTCTATTTCTGTAGCATCTCCTACACAGTATTCCACAGAACAAGAGTTTTAAAATTTTGATTAGGTCTAGCATCAGTTTTCCCTTTTATGAATCATGCTTTTACTGTCGAATCTAAGAGTTCTTTGTCTAGCCCACAGACCTCAATTTTTCCTGAAAATTTTATAGTTTACATTATGTATTTGTCTATGATTCATTTGAATCAATTTTTATATTAAGTGTGTGGTATTAGGTTGAAAATTTATGTTTTTTTCTTTTTCTTTTTGCCTATGCCTATATGTTTTTGGCCAATTGCTCTAGTCCAGTTTGTTGAAAAAACTTCTTCTTATCCCATTACATTTCTTTTGGACCTTTGTAAAAAAATCATTTTGACATTTGTGTGGGTCTATTTCTGGGTTTAAAATTATGTTCCACTGTTCCATATGTCTGTTCCTTCCCTAATACCACATTGTTTTAATTACTGTAGCTATACAATATGCATTAATACTGGATGCAGTGATTCTCTCTCACTTTATTCTTCTTTTTCAGTATAATTTTAGTTAATTTGGGACTGAGCCTTTTGGCATACATTTTAGAGTCGGTTAGGACAGAGGAGCCTGGCAGGCTACAGTCACGCACAGGTTAATTGTACAGAAAATACAAACAAAACAAACCAAGGAAAACTTGGTGGTATTTTGATAAGAATTGGATTAACCTACAGATAAGTTTGAGGAGAATTGACATCTTTATGATGTTGACTTTTCCAATTCATAAATACATGTGTCTCTCCACTTTTAAAATATTCTTTGATTATCTTCATCAATACTTTGTAGTTTTGGGCTTACAGATCCTATGCTTGTTAATACCTATGTATTTATATTTCTTTGGAGTAATTGTTAATGGTATGTTGTGTTTCAGTTTCTATAGGCTCATTATTAATATATAGAGATTGTGAATGGTTTTTGTGTGTTTTGCTACTGTTTCCTTATTTCTGTTTCCTGATCTTCTGGTGATCTGAAGAGTTGTCTTAGAGACAGTTCTAGCATATTGGGTAACAAATTGAAAGTGCTACTGTGAAAGTGGTAGTATTATTTTTATCGTATAGTTTATATACTGAGCCTAACAGCCTGCGAAGCTAGTACAAGACAAAGCTAGATTCAAATGCAGACTGCACACAGCTGTTTCCAATATGCTATGACATCTCAGGGTTAAAACAAATTTTCTGAAGGGAGTTACATGGTATATTTTGTGAGAAGTTTTCCCTGAAAGTGACAACTTGATTAGAATTACTAGATGCTTTACTTACTTTCTGTCTCTATAGACTGCACAAATATCTACCGACATGGAGGTGGTGCTAGTGGTGAAGAATCAAACTGCCAGTGCAGGAGACATAAAAGATGTGGGTTTGATGCCTGGGCTGGGAAGATCTCCTGGAAAAGGAAATGGCAACCCACTCCAGAATTCCTGCCTGGAAAATCCCATGGATAGAGGAGCCTGGTGGGCTATAGTCCATGGGGTTGCAAAGAGTTGGACATGACTGAAGTGACTTAGCATGCAGTGCATAGGGAAATTTGGGTTCCATTTTCCCTACTGAGTGCTTTAAAAAATTCTTTATATTTGAAGTATAAATATTTACCAGATTGATATTCATTTCTTTTTTCCTTCAGTTAACTGTTATGAATCAGGTACTAGATATAGAGAGATGAGTAACACAGAGTCTCTGCTTTTAATTTGCTACAGTCAAGTAAAGAAGACTGATAGGAAAGCAGGTAGAGTAATAGGTGTTAAGCATTCTGCTGAAAGTAAGTACATTTGCTACACAATAGTGTGCTGGAGCTGGAGCATATCAGCTTATGGGTGCAAGTTGTAGGAATATTTACATGACATCAGTCACATCCAACTCTTTGCAACCCCATGGACTGTAGCCTGCCAGGCTTCTCCATCCATGATACTTTCCAGGCAAGAATACTGGAGTGGGGATGTGAGGGCGATCTGGTTGCGACATCTGTCACCCCATTGATTGCCAGGGTTGATTCGGCTGATCTGGCTGGCTAGGCGGGTGTCCCCTTCCTCCCTCACCGCTCCATGTGCATCCCTCCTGAAGCTGCACGCTCCGTCGAAGAGGACGACCATCCCCGATAGTGCTAGAACCCCCAACAAGTTCTCAAGTCCACTGTGCAGTGGAATGCCTTTTCCTTCTAACAGGGCTTTCCTGTTTCCTCCCTCACTCCCTCCCTTTCTTTCTTCCTTTTTTGTCTTAGGGCACATAATTTACTAAAATACTACTATTACTGTTAACATAGAGAACAAGCTTATAGTTACCAAAGGGATGGGGGGAGGGATAAATTCGAAGTTTGGAATGAAAATAAACACACTACTATATATAAAATAGCTAGCCAACAAGGACCTAGTGTACGGCATGGGAAACTATGCTCAAGATCTTATAATAACCTACACTGGAAAGTATCTAAAAAGAATATAGATTTAGATATAGGTATGTACTTAATCACTTTAAGTGAACCTGAAACTAACACAACACTGTAAATAAACTATATTTCAATAAAAATTTAGAAAATAGAAAAATAAAATATTACTGTTGGTACAGGAGCAAAGGTATTAAATCTAGTCCTTTGTCCTCGTTGCAACATGAGCTAATTCAGCATGTCATATCATAAGATGTCACATGACCAACTGCTTCTTGTGATTTAAGCAAAAACCTTTTACAAATCTGGTGACCGATTCCCTTTTAGATGATGAGTGTGAGATTAAGTCTTAATTTCCTGTGGGTTCATTTTTCTTCCCAGAGAATATAAATCAGCTAACATCAGCATCAACTTATACCTCGTCAATGAACCTTGGCTCTTCTCACTGGCCTGGTGCTCCAGGATTCAATCAGTGACCACAGACAATCTTCAGGTCCTGAAGAAGATAAATCACCCTTACTACTTCATGGTGAGCTGGTTGCCCAGATTGTCCTTCCAAGTCTGGTACAATAGGAGTTTCTGTCCCCTCTCCACCCTACCTTGCCCACTGTGCAGAATCCAGGGGAACTAGTTAAGAGAAGAGACTTATGTGAGATTGGAGAGGGGGCAGTCACTATTCTCTTACCCAGATCCTTCTGTGATTTTCAGGCATAAATTGTTATTATTGGTATAATAATCACTTTTTTTGAATCCTCACAATGTGTCTTTCATGCATAACGTAATTCAGCCCTCGGGGTTAGCCACTAGGATTCTCCCCGTGGGAAAACTGAGATTTGATGTTTTTAAGATCCTTGATGTCATCACATGATGCAAGATTCAGAATGAGGTCTGACTCTAGAGTTTTGTTGCTGCAACCCCTCCTTTCTGAAGGCGCAGCAACAATGATAGTGACATGAGGCTTGCGGAGAAGACCAAGTATACTTGATTCCAAAATGAACACTGTGTCCTAAGCAAAATACTTTTGAAAAGGAGAGTGTGAATATCCAGCTACTGCTTATGGTTAGGGGCATGGGGATCTGAACACCTGGTTTACACTTGCAACTAAATCCCATCACTTATCTATGAAGAGAGCCCCAGCTAACCAGTTAACTGCTATAGAGCCTGTATTTTTTTTTTTAATCAGCATAGAGCAGGATGACTGAGTCAGGCACAATAGCCCACAGCAGAAATCTGCTCTGTGAGCTAGGTCTTTCCCTACCCCTGAATAAGATCTCACTCAGATTCCATAGTTTCTCTAGTCACTCTGAGATAATTTTTAAAGTTCTTTTTAATCACCAAGAAGCCTCAGCTTGGCATCGTGTCTAATCCAGAGTAATAACCCAAAGTCTAAACTGCCTTGAGCATTAGAGTTTTAGTCAGAGACACCTAAATGAGAAGCTTAAATATTTTATGTTGCTTTCTCCATAGCTCCAGCCTCACTAGCCCTTGTTTCTGACTTGATCAGAGTCAGGAGCAGGTGTGAGGTGATCGGGGCCAAGCGCACAATCTCACAGGGCCAGTACTGCATTGAGGTCTTACGGTGGCAGTGTAAAACTGCCTACCCCTTCTCCCTGGGTGCCTTGGGCAGCGCTCTGCAGATGACCCTCAAGGAAACCTTGGATGGCAGGTCCCTTGGCATAGATGAAGCCTCTCCACTTGTCTGTCTCTGTACTATCCCCCTTCATGCATAGACTATATACTTTTCTAACAATTTTATTTTTAAAAATTGATTACAGAGTAAACTTGTTTAGTATATAAAATTAATCATTATAAAATGCATAAGTTAGAAAGCAGTATAGCCCTCCATAATCCTATCCTCCTACATCAGTAATGTCTGAAAGTTGTCCCTTTGGATATATTAAATAAAACTTTATTAAGTAAAATTTTCATTTTAATATTTGAATTGTTAATAAATTCATTGGAATTGAAATTCAGAGTGTAAAAGACATAAGTCAAAAACTTCTGTCTACACCTGGCCTGGACTTGTTTTAAAGAACCCAAGGTCAGTTTGTTCAAGAAGGTGGAGCCAGTATCCCAGGGACCCTCCTAAGCAACCCTCACCCTGAGTTAGAATATGCAGGTTCAGATCCTGGCCACCTATTGTGTGAACTTGGAAATGTTAGTTAACCTGTCTTGGCCTCAGTTTGCTTATTTGTAAATTGAGGATTAAAAGTACTAGTGGGAAGCATTTTTATCCAATATAATCCTCTCTGCTTAATGGTCTGTTAATTCAAAAATTTAAAACAAGGAATTGTGAAATAGATGATGTGTGGTTTGTTAGCATTTTTGTTGTTGTTGTTCGGTCGCAAAGTCTTGTCCAACTCTTCATGACTCCATGGACTGGAGCGCCCCATGGCTTTCTTGTCCCTCACTATCTCCTGGAGTTTGCACAAGTTCATGTCTGTTGAATTGGTGATGCCATCCAACCATCTCATCATCTGTCATCCTCTTCTTCTGCCTTTAGTGTTTCCCAGCATCAGGGTCTTTTCCAGTGAGTCAGTTATTTGCATCAGGTAGCTTTATCCAGGTCTTCCCTTGGGGCTCATATGGTAAAGAATCCGCCTGCAGTGTGGGAGACCTGGATTCAACCCCTGGGTTGAGAAAATCCCCTGCAGGAGGGCATGGCAACCCACTCCAGTATTCTTGCCTGGAGAATCCCCATGGATAGAGGAGCCTGGTAGGCTATAGTCCATGGGGTTGCAAAGACTCAGTCATGACTGAGTGACTAAGCCCACAGCAGAGCTTCAGCCAGCCTCAGTCCTTCAAATGAATATTCAGGGTTGATTTACTTTAAGATTGACTGGTTTAATCTCCTTGTTCTCTAAGGGACTCTCAAGCATCTTCTCCAACACCACAGTTTGAAAGCATCAATTCTTCAGTGCTCTGCCTTCTTTATGGTCCAGCTCTCACATCCATATGTGATTACTGGAAAGACCACAGCCTTGACTTTACAGACTTTTGATTTCAGACCTTTGACTGTGTGGATCACAACAAACTATGGAAAATTCTTCAAGAGATGGAAATACTAGACCACCTGACCTGCTTCCTGGAAATCTGTATGCAGGTCAAGAAGCTGGACATGGAACAAAGGACTTGTTCCAAATCAGTAAGTATGTCAAGGCTGTATATTGTCACCCTGCTTATTTAGCTTATATGCAGAGTACATCATAAGAAATGCTGGGCTGGATGAAGCACAAGCTGGAATTCGAGATTGCTGGGAGAAATATCAATAACCTCAGATATGCAGATGACACCACCTTATGGCAGAAAGTGAAGAAGAACTAAAGAACCTCTTGATGAAAGTGNCAGATATTACTGAGCGACTGAACTGAACTGACTGATACATAACTTTGTCTGCAAAGTGATGTCTTTGCTTTTTAACACACTGTCTAGGTTTGTCATAGCTTTCCTGCCAAGAAGCAATCTTCTTTTAATTTCATGGCTGCACTCACCAGCTACAGTGATTTTAGAGTCCAAGAAAATAAAATCTGTCACTGCTTTCACTTTTTCCCCTTCTATTTTCCATGAAGTATGGGACTGGATGGCACGATCTTAGTTTTTTGAATGTTGAGTTTTAAGCCAGCTTTTTCACTCTCCTCCTTTACCCTAATCAAGAAGCTCTTTAATTCCTCTTTGCTTTCTGCCATTAGAGTAGTATTGTCCCTATATCTGAGGTTGTTGCTCTTTCTCCCAGCAATCTTGATTCCAGCTTGTAACTCATCCAGAGGTGCCTTTCGCATGATGTGCTCAGCATATAGGTTAAACAAACTGGATGACAATAAGAGCCTTGTCATACTCCTTTCTCAATCCTGGACTAGTCAGTTGTCATACTCCTTTCTCAATCCTGGACTAGTTAGTTGTTCCATACAGGGTATTGTTTCTTCTTGACCCGCATACAGGTTTCTCAGGAGACTGGTAAAATGATCTGGTATTCCCATTTCTTTAAGAGCGTCCCACAGTTTGTTATGATATACACAGTCAAAGGCTTTGGCATAGTCGATGAAATGGAGGTAAATGTTTTCCTGCAATTCTCTTGCTTTCTCAATGATCCAGCAAATGTTGCCAATTTGATCTCTGGCTCCTCTACCTTTTCTAAACACAGCTTGAACATCTGGCAGTTCTTGTTTCACATAATGCTGAAGCCTTGCTTGGAGGATTTTGAGAATAACCTTACTAGCATGGGAGATGAGAGCAGTTGTCCAGTGATTTGAACGTTCCTTAGTACCTTCTTTGGAACTGAGATGAGGATTGACCTTTTCCAGTCCTGTGGCCACTGCTGCATGTCCCAAATTTGCTGGCATATTAAATGCATCACTTTAATAGCAGCATCTTTAGGATTTTAAGTAGTTCTGCTGGAATTCCATCACCTGCACTAGCTTTATTGGCAGCAGTGCTTCCTAAGGCCCACTTGACTTCATACTCCAGAATGTCTAGCTCTGGGTGACTGATTACACCATCATGGTTATCTGGGTCATTAGAATGTTTTTTGTACAGTTCTTTTATGTACTCTTTCCATCTCTTCTTGATCTCTTCTGCTTCTATTAGGCCTTTACCATTTCTGCCCTTTATTGTGCCTATCTTTTGGTGAAATATTCCTTTGATATTTCCAGTTTTCTTGCAGAGATCTCTAATCTTATCCTTCCTGTTATCTTCCTCTGTTTCTTTACGCTGTTCTTTGAAGAAGGCCTTCTTGTCTCTCCTTGCTATTCTCTGGAACTCTGCATTTAGATGGGTATACCTTTCCCTTTCTTTCTTGTTTTTCACTTCTCCTTTCCTCAGCTGTTTGTAAAGCCTCATCAGATAACCATTTTACTTTCTTGCATTTCTTTGTCTTTGGGATGGTTTGGTTCACTGCCTCGTGTGCAGTATTCTGGACCTCTGCCCACGGTTCTTCAGGCACTCTGCTTACTAGATCTAATCCCTTGAATCTATTCATCACCTCTGCTGTGTATTAACAGGGAATTTGATTTAAGTCATACCTGGCTGGCCTAGTGGTTTTCCCCACTTTCTTTGGTCTAAGCCTGAATTTGATCATGTCAAAAAAACCTACCTAATACTTACTGGCTTAAAATACTTGTTTGTCACATTCTGTATAATGGCTGAGCACTTTCTCTGGTCTCAACCAGTTTGGTTGGACTGGGTGTCTAGGATGGCCTCATCCACATGTCTAGGGTCTTACCTGGAATGACTGTGGTCTCCCTTCCTTTGGTCACTCATCCTCAAGGAGGCCAGCTTTACTCATATTTGCCTGGTGGTGCTGGGTTCTCAGTAGTGAGAGAGGTCAAGCTTCAATGCATGTGCCTTTCTAAGGATCTCCCAATCTGGTGTTTGCTAATGTTCCACAGACCAAAGATAATGACATGGTCCAGTCCAGATTCTAGGTAGGGCAGGTAGCAACAGACGTTAGCTCTTGATAGAGAGGAACAACCAAGTCATATTACATACATGCCTGCATTTGGGGCTGAATACTGTGATTATTTTATAAGCAATCCACTGCATACATACCTAATACATTTTAAAATATTCACTCACCTTTTGACATAGACTCAAGGTCTTTCCTTTGAGGGTATTTTAGCTGATTGAATTCTGTATTCACTTGTTTATATATACTTCCAAATGAACCAGTATGATTTCTAAGTTTGTTTCCTTTTTTGTTTTTGTTCAGTGACTAAGTCATGTCCAAGTCTTAAAGCACAACAAAAACCTAAAGTCATTGGGAGAACGGGGAATCCACCCAGATTCTTATAATAATCCCATCACCCCCAGTCTCTTCATGTGTCACTCACATCTAATTCATTTGCAGTTTATTTTTACTTATTTATCTAGGGCTGCACTGGGCCTTTGTTGCTTTGCACGGGCTTTCTCTAGTTGCAGCAAGGAGAAGCTACTCTTTGTTGTAACGAGCAGGCTTCTCATTTCAGTGTCTTCTCTTGTCACAGAACACAGGCTCCAGGGCACACCGGCTTCGGGAGTTGTAGTTCTTGGGCGCTGGAGCATGTGGCCTTCGGTAGTTGCGGCGCACAGGCTCGGGAGTTGCGGCCTGCGGGCTCTGAAGTGCGCACTCTGCAGCTGTGGCACATGGTCTTTAGCTTGCCCTGCAGCGTGTGAACTCTTCCCAGAGCAGGGACTGATCACACGTCCCCTTCAGTGAGTGTGTGCATGTCAGTCGTGTCTGACTTTTTGTGACCCTACGGACTGTAACCCACCAGGCTCCTCTGTCCCTGGTATTCTCCAGGGAAGAATGCTGAAATGGGTTGTCATTTCCTCCTCCAGGGTTCCTCCCAACCCAGGGATTGAACCTGTGTCTCCTGCATCTCCTGCATTGGTAGGCAGATTTTTATTCACTGCACCACCAAGGAACTCCTGCAGTTTATTTTTTTTTTAATGACTTTTTCTATCATCATCAACTTTTAAAAAGCATTGACTTAGTATCCTTTGAAAATACCATGTTTTTTTACTCAGCTTTTACAGATCTAAGTAACATTTAATTACACCACACAATCATAACAAGTGCAGCTGTTCTAAAGCCATATGGACAGTAAAAACAACTGATTCTTAGCTTGTGCAGCCTACCTGGTGGGCATCCTGGAGCAGACCAAGGCATTGGTCAGGTTCCGAGAGGGCATTAGGAGCCTAGATTAGTGGAACTGGGTTGAAAGCTTCTGCTGTACCTGCCTACTAGTGCTGTTTGAAGGATTAGCTGTGAAAATACCCTTAATATGCTTAGAACACTTCCTTAGCTCCTATAACTGCTCATTAATATTAGTTCTCATCATTATCACCATCATTTGTGTTATTGTTATGATAATAATTATAATAATGATTATATTATATAATTTTATATATTATATTTATTTTATTATATGTATTATGTTTTTATATATTATATATTGTATTATATAATATAATAATGATAATATTATTATAACTACTAATAATACAATCATTACTATCATTTCTTTTCTTTTCTTTCTTTCTACTAATCAATCCAAGAAAAGACCTTGGGATAGAGTGGAAAATGGCATAAGAAAGAAACAAATGCCAGACCCTGTACCATCATGTAGTATTGGAGGTGAAATGATGAAAGTAGAAAGGGAAGATCAAACCAGGGAGTTTAAAAACTCATACAAGAGAAGCTAGGAGATGGAGGTCTATAAAATGGGTGATTCAGTCAAGGAGCCTGAAGAAGTAGGCATGCTAGTCTTAGTTAAGAATTATAATTTCAGCATGCTTATTTGAAGCACAATGACTTAGAAGAATGATTCCTAAATGCTGGTTCATAGACTGGTTGCTTGTTTCCGGGGAGCTTGTTAGAGATGCAGAAATTCTGATTCCTGAGTCGCTAATGAGGCCCAGGAAGCTGTATTATGAAAGGCTGCAGCTCAGGTAGATTTGGGTGCACAGCCAGGTTTGGGAAACTGTGCCATGAACACAGAGCACTTGGAAGTCAAGGAACTTGGGCTGTAGTCCTGGGTCCAGAGAAGAATTGCTATGTGATATCTCTAGGACTCCCTTAGACCTCTGTTGAGTGTCCAGGGAAATGATGTGTGTGAAGTGTTTTAGTCCTTCTAGAGCCCTGGGCACATGTAAGAGGGGATTGTTAGGTTAGCAGCAGGTATTCTCTGTGTTTGACTTCAGTCCCAGGAATCAAGGTTCCTCCTCCTGCTCTGCCCCATCTCCATTCCCACTCAAGCAAGGGACTTGATGCACATGATCTACAATCTTCTCCAACTGTAAATGCCTATAACTGTGTTTTCTGTTTTGCAGACACCAAAGTTCTATCTGTTCATGTGGATTTTCATGGATATTATTTCTGCAGCTTTCATTATTGCCATATTACATTTTTATTGGTAAGCATGTTTGTAATTTTAAATGTTTTTTTCCCCTAAATAAAAATATACATGGTTTGATGGAAGTTTAAGAAAAAACAGTTACAGTCTTCTCATAGTCCCACGTGGCAAATCCTCAGGGAGACAGGGTTTAATGGTTTTCTCTTCCAAACCTCCTGTTTCTTCTCATGCTGCCTGCCTGTAGCTCCTCACACCCCTTCTACCTCCTCAACATGAGACCGTATCCTAAAGATAAGGACTCTCACTAAAGCTTAATCAAAGCCTGTTACTGCAGATCCCTTGCAGATCAGTTGGGAGAGGACAGGGGTTGAAGATTGTTCAGAACAAGTACCTCCACCTCCCCACCTTCCACAGGATGGGACACAGCAGGGTGATGTGTAAAGAGCAAGCTCACCCTCCAGGAAACCTGGGTTTTAGTCCTGGCTTTTCCAGTAGTTTCTGGATGACACTGGGAAAATCACTGCCTCTTTCCAGATCATAGTCTTTGTATCTGTCCAAGAAAATGACATTTGGGAATTCTTGAGGGGGAAATGCTACAAGATTACAAGGTTCAGGTGGAAGAGGGGACATCTGGTAGAAGAATTTTAGCTGAAAGAGACTCCATGGTTCTTTAGGTCTCAGCATGCCCATCATTTCCTCATTTGAGTTATCTTTTAAAGGGGGAAACTGCAAACCCTCCACCTAAGGTAGCAATTGACTGGGCAATGTTCTTTTCTGGCCACTGCCTATATTATTTTCACGTTGGAAGAGGTCTGTGAGGCTCACAGTCCCTCTGCTTCATTCTAGGAGGAGAGAGAGCCAGAGTGAAAAAATCCTCCACGGTATCACCAGTTACACAGGTAAAGTCAGAGGCCTTTAGGAAGTCATTCCCTCCAGAAAGCAGGGCCTGCCTTTAATGTTTCTGACAAGAATTTAAGGAGTCTAAAATGATGGAGTGGGAACCAGTGAGAAGTTGGGAGAAATAGGCTTGGCACAGATTCTAGGAGGCTCTTGACATCAAAATTCATTGTGGACTTTATCCTCTAAGCAGTGAGATTTCTTGAAAGATTTTGAATGTGGCTGTATATTTGCTCTCTTGTTCATATATTGATTCATCACATGATTATTATTGAGTACCTGCTTTGTGCCAGGCATTCTGAGAGGCCAAAGTACCTGAAAGCTGTCTATGGAGGGTGGTTCAAGAGAAAAGAGCTTCTATCCCACAGAGAGCAGTGAGGAAGCAGGCAAAGGTATAACAGTTGACATCTTTGGTTCAGGCATCTAATTCCAGGACAGAGAAGCTGCCATGTTCACCACAGCTAAATGTGCTCTATGTGGCTTCAGTTGTGATGTATGTTGGAAGGTGGAAGGAGAAAATTGCAGAGATCCTGGAATTTTGGTCTAGAGTCTAGGCTCTGCATATAAGCAATCAGGAAATGGAGAATGAGTTTCAAGCAAGGGAGTGATATGCTTAGACTTCTGTGTAAAAGGAAAGAATAGCAGAAAAACTTACTGATCACCAGGATAACTAAGGGCTGAGTAAGTGAGATAGGTCCAGTAAGGGAAGGGAAGCTAGAGTTTATATTTCAGGAGGTTGTGGGGATAATCACACAGTGAGTTACTGGTTTGGGAAGCCAGTGCAATGTCAAAGGGAAAACCAGTTAGGAGGCAGAGGACTGTGCAGTACATGATACCGTTTCCTCCCATAGCGTGTGAAAACTTAAGTAAAGTGGAAACAGTCACAAAATCATGAATTAATTTAATTTTTTGTGGACAATGGTAAAGATCATGAGATGTTGTGTACCAACTGGCAGAGTATTCAACACATACATTACTTAGAGTTGCAGGAATGGATCCATAGGGACCATGAAAACCAAGTTCAGAAATTTGAAGAGCAATTGTCTTTCCTACTTTAAAATTGAGTGGTTTAATCAAGCTGATCCAAATGTCTCAAGATAAATAGATTTCCAGTAACTGAGTTTTATGCATTTTAAAAAGATCACTCTGCTGGCTCTTAAGATGACTGAAGGCTGAGTTCCAACTGCCTTATGCTTTTTAGTAGTTATATTAGTAAACTAGGGCTGCCCCCCCACCCCAAAAAAAAACAAAAAACGGGGGCCCTTAAAAAAAAAAAACGAATTTTCCTAAAAGTCCGGAAGCCAAAAGGGCAAAAACAAGGCAACAACAAGCCTGCCTCCCCCCGGGGCCTCTCTCCTTGGCCACTTTCTTGCTGTGTCCTCACAGCAAGATTCCTCTGTGCACACACAGACCCCCAGTGTCCTCGGGGTCTCCAGATTTTCTCTTTTCTGCCCAGACTGGATCAAGGCTCACCATAATGGCCTCATTTTGATTATGTCTTTAAAAGATTTATCTCCTAAATTAGTCCTATATTGAAGTGCTAGTGGTTAGGGCTTTAGCATATGAATTTGTGTGGTATACAATTTAGCCCATAACAGTAATCCAACCAAGAAATGAAAGAATGTGAAAATGATGAGAAAACCACAGATGGAAGAGAAGTTTTGAAGGAAAGTTAAAAGACTGTTTAAATTTGAATGAAGGAAGTAATTATAATGCCTTAGGGAAAGCATGGTTTACTTGACCCTGAATTCCCACCAGAATGAAATGTGAAGAAAATAAGATGAGTAGAAAATAAATTAAGATTTTTTTTCCTGTTTTTGAGAGTTTTTAGTTGCCCATTTACAAAAACCAGTTTTGCATGATCTACATAAATGTGTAGAAATACTCTTTGAGTACCTCAAAGAGATGCCTACAAGGCAAAGGTCTAAGTTTAGAATCAGGGAAGGAACAAGAAAAACTGGAAAGAAGCAGGATCCACAGCCCAGACAATCAGGGTGGGGAGAATATAGCCTCCAACACTAGCAGTGTCAAGTATTGCATCACGACCACCTCAGAGATGGGCATGTCCTGCTGCTGCCACCTCTCTAGATTTAGGATATATTTTTCAGCCCTTTAAAGAGAGTCCAATCTTTCGTCTTCTATATCTAGTAGTTTCTTAGGAAAATTCTTCCAAAAAAGAAGTCTTCTATTTTTTATCATTGTTCCTCTACTTCTAACATGTTCTCTTACTCTGGCTACTTTTTAGGATTATTTCTTTTACCACTGGTTTTCAGTGATTTGATTATGATTTACCTTAGTGTATATGAGTGTGTTTATCTTGCTGAACTTCTTAGATTTATACTTCTTAAAAGTATAAATTTTCAGTCTGTATTTTTTCTCATATTTTTCTGTCACTATCCTCTTTCAGTTAGGTGGTTAGTTGTTAGATGTTAGGTGGTTTCTTATTATCCCATGGGTTGCCAAGACCATTTGTTTTTATTTTTAGCATACTTAATTTTTTTGACTGTACCAGGTCATAATTGTGGCATGTGGGATTTTTAGTTGTTGCACACAAACTCCTAGTTGCAGCATGTGGGATCTAGCTCCCTGACCAGGGAGTGAACCTGGGCCCCCTGCATTGAAAGCATGGAGTCTTAGCCATGCTAGGGAAGTCCCTAGCCTATTTAATTTTGTGCTCCATTTTGGAAATATTGTATTACTGTATGGTTAGTTTTTAATTACTATGTAACAAATTACCTGAGACCTAGCAGTTCAAAAAAACACAAATTTATCATCTTACAGTTTATTGGACCAGGAGTCTAGGCATAGTTTTGCTGAGTCCTCTGTATGAGGTCTCATGAGGATAACATCAAGGTATTGGCCTGGGCTGCAATCTCATCTGAGACTCCAGATTCCTCTTCCAGGCTCATGGGTTGTTGGCATAATTCATTTCCTTACAATTGCAAGACTGAAGCCATCCATGTCTCCTTAATCATTCTTGGAATAGTTTTGCTCTAAGATCCTAGAGACTACCTTCAGGTCCTAGTCATAAGGCTTTTTCACAGCATGACATCTTAATTCTTCAAAGCCAGCAGGGAAATATCTCTCGTAGCAGATGGATTGAGGAAAAAGAAAACAAAGGAAGCAAAATGATACACAAAACAAATAGAAAACAAGTTGAAACATGGTAGTCATAAATTCAGCCATTTTATTAATTACATTAAATATAAATGAACCAACTTCTCAAAACATTTGTAGAAATTGTCAGACTGGATAGAAGCAGGACCAACACATATGCTGTCTACAAAAGAAATAGTTAAAATACAAAAACACAGAGTAAAACCAAAAGGATAGAATATAATATGCCATGTAAACAATAAGCCTCAGAAATAATATCTGAAAAAACTTCAAAGCATGGAGCATTGTTAGAAATAAAGATTTCATAATGATAAAATGGTTGATGTATCAGGAAGTCACTATATATACTTAATAGCAGAGCTTCAAAATAAAACAAAAGCTGAAAGAGAGAAATCATACTTAGAGATTTTAAGATGCTTCTCTCATTACCTGAAAGAACAAATAGGCACCCAAAAAATANCTAGTCCCATGGTAGGACTAGTCTAGTTACAAATGACATCTGAGGAGCCCAGGCTCTTAGAATGGCAAGGTCACAGCAAGCCAGGAGTAGAACCAACCAGGTGCTTCAGGGTGGATGGAGGGAGTTCTGCCTCCTGGCAAGGCCGCCTCCCTGGAAGAAGGGTCAGAGGCCATGGTGGTGCCATCAGTGGTGGCCAGCCAGCCCAACCTCCCTGCCTGGCTAGTCACGGTCTTCCCTCGGCTGCGGAGGTCGCTGATGGTCCTGAGCCAGCTGCTGCCTAGAGAGTAGGCACGGGGCCAGAGCCGCCTTCCCCCTGGTCACTCGCCACTCCTGGAGCCTCACTGTTTGCTCATGGCTGTGAGCATCTGGCTAATGTAGGGAGTCGGGTGGTCATCCACCTTGTAGCCCTGACAACAGCAGCAAGAAGATAAACAGAGCACCGAGAAGGACACAACCGTCCACCCAGACCCAGAGCACAGACAGCCCCCAGGAAACTGCAGTGGACAGAAGCCTGGACAAAGACAAATCCTGCCCCGCTCGGGCTCAGCCTCCCCAGCCAGACAGCTGAAGGCGCGGGTCCATCCATCCAGACGTCTAGGCTTCTAGCTTATTGTGACCCCCACATTAAGGCGCTAGTTTGTGGCTACCTCAAATCCTGGATGCCTATCTCCAGCAGTGATCATAAAAGCTGTACCAGCTGAGCTCAGTCCAGGAGGTCTCATTGCTAATGGCTCTGTCAACCTCGATGACCAAGGGCTCAATCTCTAAATATTAAAGGCACTGGGACATAGTTACTGAGTGGGTGATGTGTTCCTCAGCTCTAGATTAAGCCCCTACCCCAGACCTAACCTGATCTAACCTTAGCTCCAACTTGATCCTGACTACAGGCTAGGCTGCGCCCTTCTGTGATGTGGGGGCTGGGAGGATGGCTGAAGCTGCAAGCGGGGCTAGGGAGCCCCCCAGGCCTGAAGTGCCCTCACCAGTGATGTTTCACAGAGTTTGCTCCCATGTACCAGGTCTCCTGTGGTGATGTGGAAGAAGGTGCTGCTGCTGGTCCAGTTGGAGAACTTGGTGAAGGGGTGGCTGGTCAAGATGTCCTAGGGGAGCAGAGAGTCTGAAGCTGCACAGCTGGACTGTCTGGCCTCTGTGTCCTCAGCTCCAGCCCAGAGACACCACCCGCATGAAGGACCTCAGGCCCTCAGACAGGGAAAGAAGCCAGAGGGTGGAGTCCAGCTGTGCCACAGAGCTTCTGTGCGAGGCAGGCCGTGGTTGGGACCAGCTAGAGGGACCTCCAAGGAAGCCCAGGAGGCCGTCAGGTGTGTGGGGCCAGTGCTGGAATTTAAGAGCTTCAAGAAACTATGGTCCCACAGGAGGTGACCCAGTGAAGCTGGAAGAGGGAGACGGGAAGACACCACCTGGGGAACACAGAGTGTGGGCTGGTAGAGATGCAGCCCAGGGAAGTAGAG